GACTGGACGGACATCAATTACGAGGTGGGGATGGAGGTGCTGCAGTGGATCTACACGGACCAGGCGGCGCTGGCGCAGGGAGACGACTTTGTGCTGGATGTGATGCGCACCGCCGACCGGTTCAAACTGGATCAACTGAAAACCAAGTACGTTCTGAGCTAGTGCGGGGACGGTGTTGATGGGTTGTCGCCGTGGATTAGTTGTGTATGGATTTGGTGTGTTTAACTGGCGAAAATGGTGATGATTTAACCCGCGCCCTGCTGGGGGGGGGGGTGTTTGAACACCCCCTTGTGGTTTTTCGCGAATATCTCAAAAACGGCGGCGCGGAGCGCCGCCGTTTTTGGTACACCTTATCATACATCAATTCTACACATGTTGTGAAAATTTTAGGCCAAGGTCATTCAAGGTCAGGTCACCAGGTCACTTGAAGTTACCTCACCTCATAAAAACTTTCAATGTCTGCCATAGCTACACCGAGTGACCGATCGCTTTGAAACTTTCAGCGATTGATAAGGATAACAGTATCTATAAAATGTTTATCTCGGAATTTTGATATCGGTGACCTAAGGTCAGGTCAATTTTGCGACCTCTCCATTATAAGTCAATGGGAGAAAATTGAAATGCGCCTCTTTTGGACGAAAGACATTATAAACACTCCCAAACACTGAATTACAAGTGGTTTAGACACACTGAACATGAAAATGGTGTCCGTGACCCCTATTTATGCCCCGGAGGTCATCTCAGGTCACGAATGGTGTCTAACAGTTTTTCGCAAATAACTTTTGATAGAGGCATGCTAGAGCGGTGAAAACGCCTTAGATGTGCTCAGCTCGACGATACGGATCGACTGATATGCAACATGACCCTTTCCGGTCAGGTCATGACCTTGACCTGAGGTCAAATTTTCAAGTTGACCTTTCAAGGTCAAGTTATAGTTCATTCGATGCGTCTTGACAAGAGGAACACGATGCCGGTAAAAGTAAGCTCGTACAAGGCTTGGGTCAAAAGTTATTGCAGAAAAACTGTTTCCGAAAAAAATCGGCTATTTTTGCAGTTTTTGCCCCCTGCAGGCAAAACCGTTGACGTTAGGTCAAATCTGAGAAAACTACTCAGAAAGGGCGTTAATAGGGCTATCAAATGCGCTTTTCCGCGGCGCTGTAACTTTATTGGTTCCCGAGTTATGCGTTGGCTTCTTGGAAATTGTCGACATTCGACCTGAAAATCTGCGAAATTTTGCCTTCAATGACCTCTAGTGACCTGACCTTTGACCTGACCAAAAAAGTGACCGAAGTGATTTCGTCATTATTTTTGGCGCTCTTTCGAACGCCGCCTTCCGCGTATCGCTATGTGGCCCAGGAGCCGAGTTAGAAGGGGGGGGGGTGTTCAAACACCCCCCCCCCCCCCCAGCAGGGCGTGGAAATCCAGGACCCCAGCCGGGCGCGGGTTAATTTGAGTGTGTATATCTTATTTCTTTTCTCACTTTTCTGCATCGGCTATAGCACATGTTTTACACCCTGTTTACCTTTCTTGGAATACGATGTCTAAAACGTTAAATGCAAACTGATTAGAACGCTCAATTTACTTTACACTTCTGCCATCGGAACCCTCGCCTCACTAAAGCTTCGTTCGTCTGCCGCCAGGTGCGAGAACGCTCTCATGTCTTCGGTCAGCGTGAAGAACTGCATCAAATTCTACACGACGGCGGACGACATCGGCGCCGGAACGCTGAAGGACTACTGCTCGCGGCTCATCTCCACGCACTGGGTCAGTGATAGTTTGGGGACTGTACTATTAGTGGGGCGATACTGGCAGCTGAAGGACTACTGCTCGCGGCTCATCTCCATACATTGGGTCTGTGAGATATCCAGTATCCACACATTGGTTCAGTGGGGGTCTGAGGGCAGTACATACTTTAGAAAGCCCGGTACTGCTCGCGGCTCATCTGCACACATTGGGTCAGTGGGGGTCTGAGGGCTGTGCTTTCAGCGGGGCCGGGGTGGGGTGCGGGGCTCTGGGCTCTGAGGGCTGTGCTATCAGCGGGGCCGGGTAGGGGTGCGGGGCTTTGAGGAGGGAAACTAGTCTCATAAACTTAATATAGCATCTAATGTAACACATAGTATACCTTTATGTCGTGTCACTGCACATGGACTACGTTGGCCAGTGGCCACTAGTTGCACGTCCAGGTGTTCAGGGAAAAGGTCGAGGCCTTGTCCCGTGTCCGCTGCTTGGCGTCAACAGCGGTCGGCCGATCATCGTCCGACCTTATCAATATTATTAGAAGTAAGGGGTTCCAAATGATTTCCGTTCGTCTACTTGTCTTTCCCTCACCACTTCTCCGTTTCCCGGTATTATAGTCTGCCAAGTGCCAACTGCCTATCTCCGTCTCCCTCTCCATCTCACGGTGTACCTCTGTCACTCCCTTCAATATCCCGTGTCACTCCTGGCGTCACTGTTCCCGGTACGTTTACCGGCTTTGGCAGCCAGACATTGGAGTCTGAACGCCACACGGCATACGGATAGAATTGATAGTGCCAAGAACCGGGGCCGCGTTCTGTTGATTTGAAAATAAGAGATTTTCCATCGAGTTTGTTACCCTCTTAGATTAAGAATGTTCATCGTTACGGAGCTACGATTCACTGTATGACTTCCAATTTCAGTTTCACTGAACGGAGGAGCGGTTTCTGTGTTTTGTTATAGCAAACACCTGCTATATGGCCCGTTGTCAAAATAGCCAGCCAGGCCCGCTGATTTCACCGGCTCCTCAATGAGCCGCCCAGCCGCTGCCCGTTCATTCACACCTGTTTGGATGGTGTCCAGAGCGGTTCTAGCGGCGGACAATGGAATCTCATCATCTGTCGGCATTAATCGGACCGAATGATCCCTGTCGTAGCCACCTGTGCCGCTACATCACGGTAATCCGGCTACATAACTGACAAAGCTCGTCAGACTCACTCAGCTACGGCGTAACGTCAGTTTGACGGCGGCAGTTTGGCTCACTGTTATGTACTAACGAACTACAATCACTCGGCTGTTGTTTCCCACTACAACATTTCAGCCATAACCCAGTGCCAATTCGCATAGCCTAGCAAATCGCATGCCAATCCTCCTTTGTTTGGAACTGGGCGGCGAAGGGTGGGTCGGTGTGGGGTGTGAGAGGAGGGGATGGGTTTGCGGTTAGTGACAGGGAGGGAAAGAGAGCGGGTGAGGGGATGTTACATCACAGAGAGCGGTGCTAATTTTACTCCCACCGTGTCACTGCGCCTCCCGGACTCCGAGGTGAATCAGAGACCCTTGGCGGCTGTGATGTCCCCTCTGCCCCGCCGGGCGGTCCAAACCGACTCTGTCGGTATGTTTGGGAGAGTGAGAGCTATATCAGACGCTCGGGAGTTATGGGGTGTGCCTGACGTGGCGACGGCCAAGAGGGGTGGGGTGGGGTGGGCAGTGATTGACTCCGGCGGCTGAGGGGCTTGGAGGTCCCGAGAGGTGAACGGTTTGGAGATTGGATATTAAAATTATTTGATTTTAGCTTGCATAGTTTAAAAGACTCAGTTGGGAATAAACACATCACTCAGCACAGAAAAGGGTCGCGGAAGACCGTCGATCTTCTCTAACATCTCTAAGAAACCATTTTCCAACCATTTTCAACCATTTTTATGGCATAGCTGCTATGCCATAAAGGCTATGCTTGCACTTACATTTGCTAGCAGAAATGCTCCACTGGCGTTACCTGGTGACCAATGTTGTCACATTATATCACCATGAACCGCAATCCATAACATTTTACCCTTCTGTCGGTCCGCAGAACGACTTCACCAGCGAGGACTTTGCGCACATGAAGGCGCCGCTGGTGTACGAGATGTTCAAGTCGAAGACCCGCTACCCGCTGCACGCTGCCATCCGACTGCTCCGGGAGGACGTGGTCTTCCTGTTTTTGATCGAGTTCAACGCACAGGTGGGTCCCCGGACCGACGAACGGCTCGGGGGGGGGGGGGAAGAAGGGAGGCTGGGGAGGTAATTGGTAATTATCGGAGGGAAGGAGTGGATAATGCGCTATTGGACGGGCTTCTTCGCTGCAGTGGCACGAGAGTCGCCAACACTGAATTGGGCTACCTTTCGCCGAAGACGGCTTCTTAAGAATAGAATCACGCCAGTTCCTGAGCCAGAGCAAAGCACTGGTATAAACTCTTTGTTGACCCACATCGAATGGAGTGTAAGTGCCGACGGTCTTTATTCGCCGCGCAGCAACTGCGCCGGGTTTTACGACCTCAGTGAAGACTGGCCACACCATTCCCCACATGTTGCGCCCGCCTGGCCCGACTCCCCGCTGTTATTCTGCGGCTCAAATATCACATTCATTCTCCGTGCTGTTGGCTCAGCGGCCGCTTTTGTTGGCCCGGGTAGAATGAGAACCCCTCCCCGCGACATGCCGTCTTGCAGCGCGTGCAGCGGCCGTGATAACAGCCGTGGTTTCTTTAATAACCCTCCGATCAATCGGCGCAAGTCGACCGCGCCGTATGGCCCGTCTGGGGCGCGTGTATTTTGGGATGATGCGCGCTCCGGTGTGCCTTATTTTCGTTTGTGTCTGCGTTTTACGACCTGTACCGGGTCGCTCCAGTTGGGTGGGTGGTGTTTTGGCTGCGGTATAGATGAGGTATGGGTGTGTAAAGATCCAAACGGGCAGCCCAGTCACTGAGGATGGGGTAACGACTCAAAAACAAAAGCCGAGATGAAAATGAGGCGTGCTGTTTGTGACCGGTATTAGGCTGAAGGGTGTAATTATGTGCTCATCTAGCCTAGAAAGACCAAAATGATGCTGATAAATCAGCTATAATATATTGGAAAGAATAGGCAAATTCGTGGTTACCGTAAAGTGTTGGCTTGTACGGATCTAATTCCTTGTGCTATTTGGAGGTCGGCCCCATCTTAGGCTTTCTCACGATCTTTCGCAAGCTGCGTGTAAGTCTGCGTTCAGCGACTTCATTGCAGGAAAAGCACGATAATTTAATGATTTCTGGAATTGATACCAGTGTTTATTTTCATTCAGTGTCATCACAGGTGCATATGTATATTATGTTAACCACTAACCACTCGTGCTCTCACATATTGTCATTTAACACCAGTCATACCCCATATCTCTCTGTTCGTCGTTATGGACACGCTTCACAGCTGATAACCAGCACTGTTGCACCACCGGCCCACGGTTGGGACCGCTGGCGTCGTCCCCACGTGCAGGGCGGGACCGCTCCAGTGCACCCCCCCCCCCCAAACACCCCACCATACCCAGTTCCGATCGCTCCCGTTCAGTCGCCCCCACAGGTCACGCGAGCGAGCGCTCGTGGCGCGTGCCTTCACGGCTGACAAGTCGTTTCGATTATGCCCATTTAGCTCCTGCCTGAATTGATTAAACCTAACACCGTTCGGGTGTGTTTTTGTGCCGAGTTCGTGAGCCAAAACGGAAAACAGCACGAACTGATAACACAACATGGACAGACTGCTGGTGGGATGCGTTCGGCACCCGGGGAGGGTGTAAACACTCTGCATGCTCTACGCTAAGATCATTATCAACAAATGGTCACGGTCTTATGGCCGGTGCTGAGCGCGCGAAAACAATACAACTCAACTAAACACGAGCGGCCCGCTGACAGACCAGCTGAGATCCGGGCTATATCACATCGACGCGCGAAATTTGGCGCGCCTGATCCGACCAACACACCACAGACAGCCTCTGAAGCATCCCGCGACCAGTACTCGTCCAGTGTCGTCACTCGGGGCCGCACGGTACGCGCTACAACGCGCGACTCTCTGTTTCGTCGGGCGGCCGCGTGGCGGCGCTGGCGTCAGCCCGACAGATGTCGCTGCGGTCGGTCACCGTGCGGCGAGCAGCAGCAGCGCCGAGACGGCGGCGGCCGCGGCGCTCCACCGCACCGCGTCTGCGCCGCCGGTCAGCTCGTACCTCAGCCGGCCGTTACAGCGGTCGTCGCTGCAGAAGCAGTGCTCGGTCCGGGTGACCTTGATGCCGTCCGTGTGCTCCACCAGCTGGCAGCCCTCGGCGTGCGCGTCCTCGAAGATGTCGGTCACCTCGTGCCAGCCCTTGCTGGGCGTGAACCGGCGGTAGGTGACGCTCTGGTGCGCGCAGTCGCGCGTGGTCGTCGTTATAATCTCTGGGGAGAGAGAAACACAATCAGCTGAGTGGACAGAAGTCTGGGTCCGTTCTGTTCCGTTTTAATGGTCGGATAATGTTCACGCTAATGGGCGGTGGGGTGTCAATGGCATTCCGCGGGGTTAAGGTCAGATGGAATTTCAATGACCGCGCGGTGCGTGCGGCGGGGCTCAATGAGCCGGCGCGGCACGATCTGACGATGTGACGCACGAGCGAGCCATTGTATTCGACCCGGGCGCGTTCAGATACCGAGTTATCGGCTCAGTGTCGTGCCGGGCCGGGAGTACACCCTCCGTACCCATGTTCACCAATTTGGCACAATGCGCGGCTCAATCCCCCTCGATAGCACCGACCTTGTGCGTGCCTAATGCAACCTGACAGCCGCATTGTCTCTCGTAAACCTACTATGCGATAAGCCTTTTACTGGCCGATAATTCTATACGCCCGCCTGTCTTTGACCAAGCCACACCCCGCAGTGTCGCTGGCTACCGTCCGTTGTCAGTGCTCAGTGCCCGCTCGGCGGACGGTGCGCCCGGAGAATAACCCGTGAGTCAGGCCGTGGCGAATCGAGAACCTGGCACGCGTCACTGGGAGAGGGAGGGGCAGGGAGGCTCGCACACAGAGGGTGGGGTGAGAGAGTCGCGTGATTGGGTGGGTTCAGTGGGTGGATGTATTTCTCTTGGCTACTTCTGTAATGGTGGCGTGTGGTAACCTGAGTTTTTATACTTCTAAACCAATGCCTTATTTATTTCTCAGCGTCTCTAAACTACTAAATTATCCTGTCCAACACAATTTCCCAAACATCCCCTGCGATCCATCGCCTTTCCAATCACTAACCACAGCTTGGCCTTCGATCCCTCCTCTGCAGTTACTGTCACCCCTTTTGGACCCTCTGCACCCTGCAGTGCTGTCTGGGAACCTCTCTCACTCCCTCCAAGTCCAAACACTTCCATCAGCTGCCCCACCGCCGTCCCGTCACCCTCCCACCGCCGTTCCGCCGCCGCTCACACACCCAGGTGGGACGTGTCCGGCCTAGGGGCTGTCGATGGCGACGATAGGCGACGGGAGGGGACCGACGGACACGACACAGCCGGTGTGGCGGCGGAGCGACCCAGGGCGGCAGTGATGGGACTCGTATGGAGAGGAAACGCCTCCTCACTGTCTTTGAGAAACATCAACAGTGCGCCGGAGGGAGGGGTGAGATGGTCGTCTGTCTGGCCGCTGTAGGTCAGGCGGTCGGAGGTGTCTCTTAGTCGCCGGGTCTGTTTGTTTACAGGTAGCTTTGGGAGGGTGATTGATGACCTCTCGTGAGGCGGCGACTGGGGGGCCGCTCGGCGGATCGGTAGAGATTGGGTGGGAGCTGGCGCTGATAGGATTACGATGGAAGGATTAACGGTTGGTGCGTTCGGAGGAATAGTGGGTGTCGCCTGTCTGCGGCTGTTGTTACACGGGTTTGTCGTGAGGGGGGAGTGTGGTGTCCGTGACTCGGCCAAACAGGGAGCGGGGTGGTACTGTCAGGGACACCGTCCCACCGGGGACTTAGGCTGTTCCAGGGACAAACGTGCCGCCGGAAAAGTTACGATCACTCCGGGAGAGACTTCTGAGTCGGACCGATTTAATCAAACTCGCCGTATAAAGTGGCAAACAACTGGCTTGACACCTAGCTGGAAATCTATCAACATCGATTCGCGACCACTTTACCTAGCATCCGCCACCGTAGAAATATCAAGATGATATCAGCTCCTGCATAGTTTTGTGCTTTCTGGACGATCGCTTTACAGACGTAGACCTAATCGCTCTTCATCCTAACCAGACGTGACCCGTCCCGTCTGCCCGTCTCGACTCTCGTCTGCTCACGAAGCGGGCGCCACCGAGATTCATCGCTCGTCGCCCGGAACGGCCGGTCGGTGTCGAGTGCGGCGCGCCACGTCGCCGACGCGCCAGAATTGAAACAAAGCGGCGATAAAGGCGGCCGTAACGAGGGGGCCGCATCGCGCGCGTGCCGGCCGTCGTCGGTTTGAGAGAGCGCGCGTCGGCACCGTCACGTCGGAATCGATGGCTCGCCGAGGTCTGACATTTAACGGGGAAGTTATTCAGCTTTTTACCGGGAACCAGTGACAGACGGCATGCTCATTTATCGACAGACCGAGTCGGCGATGGCTTAAACTAAACACCTCTAGCGCTAACGCAGACCGCTCCCTCGCCGCTAAAATAGACACATCAGCACCAAGAGAAGAATAGTAACAATGGCGTCACTGATGGTCACGTGTTGTGAACGATGACGTCACGTGTGACACAGGTCGACGCCGACTCTCCTATCAGTCGCTCACCTCCGTTCGGCAGGTCGAGAATGAACGTCTTCATCTCGCACATGGTCGACTTTGGGCAGGTGACCACGTATTTACTGTGTCCGTCGAACGAGGCGCACGGGAAGATGGGGTCGGTGCGGTTACGTCGCGCCGAGATGCTCTTGTATGTGCACCGGTAGCATTGAATGCCGGCTCCTGAAACAGATAGAGAAACGGGTTAGGTGCCGTAAAACACAGATTCCATACACAACCAGAAATACGGATTAGCAACAACAATAAGACGAAAGGAAACGACAGTATTCAGTTGAGCATTCATCAGTCATCCGACGGTCAGCCACCTGTCATACGCCTTCATCCGTTCGTCATCCACCCGTCATCCGTCCCGGCACCATTTCAGTCATCGCCACCCATGACCAGACCGTCATCACTCGCGTCATCGGCGGATGACGGTGCTCAGAGCGGATGACGTCCCGGCTTTCATCGGGGGCGCCCGGGCGGAGAGGACCGCTATGGAGAGCTGTCCGGCACGTGTGGGGCTTACTGGGCCAGTTAGATCCGCTGACACCGATACCGGTATCGATGAGAGTTTAGAGATCGAAATTTGCAGTGGTGCCAATGGGAATGATGCGCCTTCAACGGATTTGTTACCGGTGCGTGGTGCGCTGTAGTGAATAATACTGGCTACAAAGTGTGGTTTATTTTCAAGCGTTTTTAAAACGTTTAAAGCCAAAGTAGCATGGTTGTATGCGGGAATCACCCGACCGTGTATTTTCGTGATACAATCGGCTGATTATCCATGCAAAATGTGCCAGATTTCCTGAAGACGAGCCGTTTGTACAAATCGTAATTCATGTGTTTCTCGTATTGTTGTTGCAATTTTTCACCGTTCCAGACAAACTTGTGCAGCTGCTGCACTCAGTCGCTGCAGCCGTGTGAGATTAAATCGTCATGTATTAGACACACTCTCCAACAAAGAACGACTGAGAATAAACCGGTACCGACAGATGCAGACCAACGGGAAGGTAGAATGGGTCAGGGATCGTACAGATAGACACACGGGACGAGGCATGCCGAGAGGTAGACTGACTGAAGACGGATTGACACAGGTAAAGATCGGACAGACAGACAGACGGACGGACGGACGACCGGACGGACGGACGGACGGACGGTACGGACGGACGGTACGGACGGATGGACGGTTGGACGGACGGTACGGACGGTACGGACGGACGGTACGGACGGACAGACAGGCAGGTGCAGTGAGACGGTTGGACGGTATGGTGCACTCACGGGACCACCAGCTGCACCCATGATCAGACGGCGATGGAGCGGCACGCGCTACCAGGAGGGTCGGGGGCGCTGAGGCGTGCAGCGGTTCCCTCCCGGCGCGTGGTTACTGCCGTATCAGACCCCGCCGGTGGCGCAGGGCCTGCTGCTTCACCTCTGCGACCGGTCCGCCGGTAGGTCGGCCGTCTCAGCAGGTCTGATCTGCAGTCCATGCATGGCACAGTTACACGCTCCATTGCACCGGGCGCCGTCCGTCAATGACGGGTGGCTGCCGGTTGACAGGTCGGGCTACCGCCGGCCCCCCAGCTCTGGGAGCCGTCACAGGGCGCCGGGTCCGTCACAGAGCGTGAGGAGGGCTGTTTGTTGGTACAGGCCGCAGACGAAATCTGTGTCAACATGAGCCGTATTGAACATAAATAGACGAACAGACGCTGATGAATAGCACGTCAGAGCAAGAGTCACGCGAGATCAGTGCTAACGACGAACGGAGACTTCCCACACTCCGCGGTGTTTTTGCTCGTGCAATAGCACACCGCGCGCAGTGCGCAGCGCGCGGGATATTCTCTCCCCTGTATCGATTCATCTCGTTGTTTGTTTTGCCACGGTAGTGTGTGAAAACCGCGCGGGAGGCTGCTGCCGGAGTTAACCGCTCGCAGGCGATTGCTCAGCTCGAGTCGCTCAATCTCTGCCGGTGCTCGGCACCATTGGCACACACCTGGTGGCTTCCGTACTTCAGACACATCTGGAGCGGCTGAGAGAGAGAACCCGGCCAGATGGCGGCTGCGGTGAACTCCTAACTAGAACCAGGTGATGATACGAGCCGGCCCTTCGATCTCCCGGCGACCACAGACGGTGTGAAAACCGCCAATCATCGTCACACTGCCCGCCAGCGGCCGCCCTTGTACCCAGAAAGGATGTTTGCCGTCGACTGAGAGGATCCTGGTCGCCTGTTCGGTGGGCTCATTCAGATTCAGTCGAGAGGCTTCTGGCTGTAAAGCCTTCTTGAGACGGTGGCTTTTCCTGTTAGTGCCTCATCCTGTCAGCTCAGCTTCTGTCTGAGCTTCGTGAAGTTTCATCCCTGGGCTCAGCCCCATATAGAGCGCTCGTCGGTTCTCTTCCCATCCCATCCTCTTCTCCCATTCTATCCCATCCTATCCTATCCCTCCGCGGACAGTCCCGTACCGCCGTGTTGCAGCTGGAGCGGTCTGCCGGTCGGTCGGCCGGTCTTCCAGCCAGCGGCCCCGGACCCCCCGTATATGGCTCCCGAAGGTCCCGCCGTGCTGCCGGTACCCTCTGCCGTGCGAGCCGTGCAAGAGGGCGGTCTGCCGCCGACCAAGGCCAGAGCGGGCCCACACAATTTGTGTCGAGTGTCACCGAAGGGGGTCGGCGGCGGCAAGACGGTGACACGGGCATCGGTCGCACCCTTCCGGAGCTAGTCAACGGCAACGACTGCCCAATTCGAGCTCTGTAAATTATGTAAGGTTCGACGGTGGGCGGCATGGCGGCCCATAACTGTGCCGTTTTTATCGTGCGGACTGAATTGTCATTACAACAGCGTTTGACAGTACTTGGTCAGTACCAAATATGGTCAGGGAACTGACGGAACCTTTGCAAAAATGCGGTATGGTATAAAAGGCAGCCGTCTTACAGATAAGGAAAACTGAGGAAATATAACTGGAAAGATGTCGTACGTGGTGAATGCCGAAGGGCCAATATCACATGTCAGGAACGATTGTCAAGGACAGTAAGCGAAGCCGGTGCGGCAACAGAGATCACGGGCACGGCCGAATCTAAACAAACTCATACCGGCGGCAATCATGAAAAGCTCATGACCTGGAATGACATCATTCTGTCCCTAGCTTCACTTACCGAATTGCTCAGATATGAAAGTATGTTGTTTTAAATGTACTTCATCATTAAGATTCCTGTTAGGGATCGTCTTTCCACAGGTGGTCAAGAGCGCCGCGCAGCAGACGTTGCGTTATGCCATGATCTTAGCCTCCGTGAGGCCAGAATCCGCTAAACACGGGTTGCTGATCAGAGTTGCACGGACGAAGGCCCTGTTTCATTCCGTGCTGTCTAGTGTTGGAGCCTGGAGGCCTCAGTAATCATGCGCATCAACACGCCTATTGAACTCCCTGCTCAGCACTGCAGGGCGTGATTGGCCGCCATTGCAACAGCTCACGCGAATTTCGTTAGTTTTAGAAAAAAAACCGGATAGGAAGTGCTGAAGTTTTATGGACAGAATCGAAGTTGGAGTGAGGCTATTTATTTTCTTTTGTTTTGGTTGCTGGTTTTCACTTTCGAATTTTGTTGGATACAGCCCGTCCCGGAAACTCACAAGGACAGGTGCTGCTTTCGTGGTTCATCCACTTGCACTGTGCCATTTTGATAGCTCGTTTCCGTACCTTCGTACTTTGCTTGCCGGCTTCACAGAAGCACCCGGCTCGAAAAGATCGGCTCGGCATGTCGGCGGGACACCTCAGAGCCGCCCGCTGCCCTTATAAACACGCACAGCGGGGGCCGCTAATTCGCCTCTGCTAGTACACCCGCCCAGCCGCCGCCAACAGCTACCTGCCTGAAACTCGGCCCTCGCAGTCGGGAGGAGTCGCGGAAGGTGGTACCCGATGACGTCAGGATCTGTATTTTTACCGGTGGTCCTAGCGTCAGTGGGCGTCGATTCAAGGCTGGCGGCATCACGGGATGTGTGACGATCATCACGGACCGTCGCGAAACACAACAGAGTCGTCGTGTAACGATTTGTTACGACCGGTAGTCGATAGTGGTTTTGACAACAGCTGAAACAATTTCTAGTCTTGTTCCGATGTGTATCTGTCAATCGCCGCCCCGGAGGAAAAGAAGCGTTACCGTGGATTGACGGTGACCTGAGAGACTTTGTTACTATTGGAGCTGAATGGATATCCAGGTGGCCAGAATAAGAGCCGTGCGTCCGCAGGGTTTCCGGCTTTGATGGCCTTTACATTGTTGGCATTTCTGCATGGAAGCGGCTAGCCGAAACTCTGATCGGTATGCATGCAGATTGAAGAGCTCCGTTACAATCTCTTGTAAAGCCAACTGTGTTTATATGATTCCCCGGTAGAGATGCGACTTATTTCGCTCCTCGCCTTTATATCTCCTGCTGTCTGAACAGCCCATGCCGCCACATATCAGCTTGCCGCCGGTGACTGCGGTCAGAGCTCAGCCCTGAGCCTAGCCTAGACTTAGCACTGAGTAGTGAGCGCCATGAGCAGGATGAGCCGGGTCTGAGCCACCTGAGCTCAGTAGGAATGAGCCGAGCCTGAGCCACTCGAGCTCAGCGCTCACGCCAGCTGGCGGTCGGCCGTTGAGCGAGTTTCGTCGCGGGCCGTAGTTGTGGCAGTCTCTCAGAAGCGCTGATGAATCGCAACGCGCGACCGATCATACACCTGGCTGTCAAAATACGCAGTAACATACTGCACCGAGATAATGCACCACGACCACTTTGTGCAGTGTCACAAATCACGGCGGCGAGAGAGCTCGAGAGCTGACGCTTCATGGGTGGTTTGGGTATGTACCCTCTGCAGCACGGTACCATAATGTTTGTAAAATGTTACACCATATCACCACGGCGCGGTGACGTCACATGCGTAACTGAGTCAGGTGTGACTGAGTCAGTCATTTAACCCGCACATTCCACCGAGTCGGTTTGTCACCGGAGGAAGGAAACACCGACCGAGTTCCGGCGAGTCACCCGTGCGTAAAGTATCGATTCCAGGGAGCGATCAAATCGAGCGCCTTCGACTACTAGTTACTACATGGGTGTGGCGGGCGGACGCGTTTGGATACGACCAAGCGTAACCCAGCGTGGTGATACGCTGATGTGTGAGTCATCACCTGGCGTGACCGGTATACGTCATCGCAAGAGTGAA